ATGGCCTTATTTGCCCCTCACACAAATATAAAAAGAGGATACATGGCAAAGTGTTTTATTTTCAGAGAAAGGATAAACATACAAACTGTTCTAATTTATTGTTTTGTTTTTTTCTCCAACATAAAAAATATGGAATTCTCAGCTATACAAACACTGAAACAAATGACTACAATCACTGCTATGTTTCCTAATTTCTGCAAGTCTTTAGTGGAGTTTTATCCCATGCTGATATCAGTTCTGGGAAAGTATCGTTTATACAGTAATGTGTGTCGGCTCAGTGAGAACCATTCTGGAACTAAGGAAAAAATAACTGATAGTGAATTTCAGGGCCATAGTATGCTGGATTATAGAAACTTCCTATGTGCATGTGATTTGTACTAAATATTGATCACAAAATGAAACCATTATAAACTGTGCAGTACAATTTGAATTCACACTGATTTGTATAGATTTGAATAGTCAAATTATTTGCAAGCAGAGCAACCTTTTTTTGGTTTGTTTTGAGTTCTGAAAAAAAAAACGGGGTCTACAATTTATTTACCAATTTAATGTGCTCTTAGATGGGCACAGTACAAGTGAGGTGATCTCAGGTCAAGCTAATACACAAGGTTGCTAAGGTTCATGTGATCTCACAATGTGTACAGATTACAAAGGTTTGTTGCTAAGGTTAAATTTTGCACTTGCACCGAATTAGTTATTTAACTTAAAAATAACATTTATTTACTACTGGCTGTACATGAGCATATTTAAATGTTTTGCAATTAAGGTCAGAAGAAACATGAAAATCCACTCCCACTCTACTTGCTACTTCTTCTCCGTCCTGCCGGCGTGTTCTAGGCCTTCGGCCACCTGGGCATATGTCCGTGCAACTGCCGGTGACAGGCCATGGCTATCAATGTGAGCTGCTTCACTCAGAGCAAATCACAAGTTTGGGCTCTATTATATAAAGTCCCCGTGGCAACCCCACACAAAATATAATGTAAAAGAGACAAGGGCACACAGGGGCTTGGTAGGGAGGGGGCACCTTATTTATTAAATCCAGAAAAGTGCTGTTCTGTGCTATTGCTATGGACACTTTGTCAACATTTTTCCTGATCTCCTGATGTCTGGCCTTTCTGTACATTCTTGAACCCTTTCTGCCTGGATAATTGAGCTTTTAGACTGTCTGACCTTGCTACTTGTCCTGCTGTCTGGATTTGTTATCCTTGGTCTTAGTTCCTACCTTTTCCCTCAGTAAGCTACAGCTTTTTGGGTTTAAATGGACACCGTAGGCACTGTATCTGCATCATCTCATTAATCTGGTTATAGTGTCTGGAGTCCCCGGTACCATCATTTCTTTTAGCATGAAACATTTTCTAATGTTCTGATGCTAAACAAGAGCCCCAGGCAGTCCATCCCCTCTGTGCTGCTTTGGCTAATAAGGAAGTATTAGCCTGTGCAGCAATGGGCAACTGTGATTGGCTGAGAGTGTCAGCTGACTGCTTTTAGCCTGTCAAAGCTCCAACTGACGGTATGAATGGGTATGACAACAAGGAAGTGTGTAATCTCTGCCTTAGCTACACATACAGAAGGGGCCGGACTGTGGGTGGCCAGGGACTCTTATTTTGTGGCATACTGCACGAACATGGTTCAACACTGAATGGAGGGACAGTGCCAGGGCACTCCAGGCACTATAACCAATTCAAAGAGATGAGATGGTTATAGTGACTACAGTGTCCCTTTAACATTACCAAACTATCTGACACTTTGATCTCCATTTTAATTCTGCTTAGCAGTACAATTACATATATATTTCCTTCTCTCCAATAGACTAATCAATTCACATGATTTCCAAAAGGATAACATGTTGCACACAATGGATGGTCTCTGATACATAATAACCATAAAACATTGTTTGAGAGGAAAAATAAAGTCTTGAAACGATGTCGTTGCAAAGGTAGTCCTCAGAAATGTGACTTGGAATTGAATAAAGATATAGTTTTCTATGTATTTTTGACTATAGATGAAGGTTATAGAAATGGTACTAAAAATCTGTTATTTAAAAGTACATAGGGAATTTGTGATAGTGCACAGGTAACCTTTTTTGGTACGGTACTAAGTGTTTGGGCTGCCATCCAATAATAGTGAGCGTTTGAGTGCAAAACGTAATTTTGTGTGTTTGTATTTGCATATTCAGCATGGCATTAAGGGAGAACTGTGGAAACACAATCTTTTAGAGCCGCTGTGCCTGAGGCAGACATTTTAGTATATTTCGGTGATGCACAACAGTAGTTTTCAGAATTCTTTTAAAGGAACCGAGCCCCTACTGCCAGGGTTAAAGAGGTGATTTGACTTACCCTTTGTCACTCACAACGATGGTTGCTGGCCGTTAATTCCGCTTCTTTGTGTTCTGCTCCGCTTCTTTCGATGATCTAAGCCAATCCACTGTTTTCCTATAGCAAAGCAATAGGAGGCTAATGCGTATGGGGCTATCTAATAAAAATAGTAGAGTTTTCCTCTACTATTTCATAGAAACACCTTTATGAAAACATTGCCGTTCCTGCTGTGAGTGATGAGTTTTAGCGAAAAGCTTATGTGTATAGGATTAGGTAATGCTCAGCAGTGCGGTTTAAGAAATAACTTGAGGAGTTAAGAATTAGCATACAAAGGTAGTGGAATAGTTAGGAGAAAGGAGCCATAGTAGGGGTTACAAGTGTTCAGAGTTAGGAAATAGCATTATCGTTTTCAGTTTGGGATTAACTAGAATTGTGTAGTAGTGGGAATGATTACAAAATAGTGCAAGTGGATCAGTAATATAACAAAGGCTTAGAGGAAGACAATAGAAAGGGGAGTTATGCAATGGGTGGTCAAAGTCACGGGGCTGTCCATATATGAAGTGGTGCTGAAGTAGGGATATGGCTATGGTGTCACCAGAAGTGTGATTCTAGAAAACCATTTTAAAATGTTGGGGAAGGTGACCAAACTCGGGACTGTGCTGCCAAAGTCAAGACAGTCGGAAGGTATAGATTAATATTATTTGCATCTAACGCAGCTATATTAAAAGTAACTATAATTACTATTTGAAGATTAAATCAGATCAACATTCCACAACTTGCAGATTAGGGAATGTACATTTTTCATGGTTTGTCACTAAAGTGAGAATCTTTAGGAATTTAAAATTTTAAATTTTAAAGCCACAATGGCTAATCTGAAAAGGAATTAACTTCCGAATTTCGTTATTATGGCCTACATTTTGAAATTCACTTTTAATTTCCAGCTATTCTTAATTTAGTGACTAACCCTGTGTATTTCTAAAAACAAAAACAAACTTAACAATATTTATTGACCACGGATTTGCATTCATTTTAACAATGATCAAATATTTTAGCTGAAGCCTTTTTGTTTTCTCCAAGGCTTAAGATCAGAATTCATCTATATTAAGAAAATTTTCTGCATTTCTAAATATTCTACGGAGAATTGATGCATTTTCTTTTCTTTATATATTGATACTTTTATAGTTTAATAGTACACAGGATGTTTATATTTTGTTTTATAGATTTTACTTACCTAACAAGCACCACAGTACGTAGAATCCTACAAAGACAATCAGTTAATTGAAAAACCATGCCCTAAGTCCTCCCACCCACCTGTGATCATATCTGGATAGGTTTCTTCGAATTTGGACCTGCAGCTGTTACCAAACTAAAATTTCCCATGGACATTTGCCAACCACCTGTACAGTTTTTGATGCCAAAGGTTCATGGGAGTCTGTAAACATTTGAACGTCCAGTATTTGAATATATCTCTCTCATAGAGCAAACCTCTCTAGTCTAGCCAGGGTGTGTTATAGAATATTTCACTAACATTTTTAAAGGGGTCAGAAAGAGTTTTAGATTTCAATTCTACATACCTGTATTTTTCCACCCCATGCACATTTAAACTTTTAGTGCCAGGTATGTTGCATACTCACTTAACACCCATACGTCAAAGCACAACTTTTTGTTTTAAAAGAAAATGATACAATTAGACTCAAGCATTTTCAAGAAAAGAAAACACTGCATTTTGGCACCTAACACAATTGCAGTTGTTATTCAAAGGACAACTTTTTTTTTTTTTGGTTTAAATGTCTCAATATATGTAACACAAATATGAATACATTTTGAAAAGAGAAGTAAATCTAAAAATGTCTATACATTTTCCCAAAAGGTACGTGTTTAGATATTTTACAAATTAAATGTAGTGTAATGTAATGCAATACTAAACACTTTTAATCCCTCCTGGGAAAGGGTTAGGAGAATCCTGAAGGGGTTAATCACATCATATCAGCACATCATATGTATCCATGAAATATTCCCAATTCATTCTGCACTCTTTTGGCAGCATGCACAGAAACGTCCTGTCATTTTTTGTTAAAAAAAAAAAAATTGTGGGGTCTATTCTCTAGTGAATAGTTAGTTGAAAACCGACCTCCAAAATGTAGGATAAAAATGGCAAATTAGAAATAAAATGTTATTTCAGCAGAACTGGGGTTACTGTTCAAGCTCCGTTAGTTTGGCTACATTTTGCAAGCAGGTGGTCAATTCACAGTCTAGTGATTAAACCCCTTACAACATTTATTTTTCCCCCCACCATGCAATGCAGGATTATTAGAACACTTGCAATATAGTAAAAAAAAGTGCCCACAAATACATTAACATTACGTTCTACGCTACTTATTCTGCTTCCTTTTCCTCAATCTGATCCATGTATAATTGCACTTTGAAAGTAATGAACATGCTTTTTATGCAGGGGTCCATTGAAACAAGCATATACATTGCCGGACTTTTTGTACCAAGTGCCAGATGATAATACAAATAAGCCAAGGTCACGTCGAATAGTGTAAGCTCTCTAATTCTGGATCAGTCCAAGTTGCCTATGGCTTCTTCGAGGATAGGATTACGATTCCCTATTCTAGGATCTATGGCAGTGAATGTATGGCCTGGTGTAGCTGAAAAAGTCTCATCTCTAAGTTCCAAAGCACATCACAGAACGGACTCCTTTGATTCTGGCACAGTAACGCGGGATGGGTTTAGAGTCTGGTCCTTGTGCATTACAAGGGGAGATGTTTCGTCTTCAGACTTGCAGTTGGGCACAGCCTCGACGTAAACATCAGTGAGCTCCTGCTGTTTTTTTGCAATTTCCTTTTGGTTGAGATAATGAAGAATTCCGGCTCCAAGAGCATCCCCTTCAACATTTACCACGGTTGTAGTTCGGTCCCTTGAAAGGCAAACAAAGCACATATAACACTTGCGGTTTTAGGGTAGAGATAATTTTTGTAATTATCACACTATTTTAGCTTTTAGGGTTAAAAAACAACACTGAAGAAAGGGTAGATATATGGGGATTAAAGAAAGAAATTTAAAGGGTTATGCTAACCAAAAAACAGTATTTTAAAAAACACTATTTTTGGATGGAGAAATCCTTACTCGTATGTCACCCCCTTCCCGCCCACTTTCCCCCAAAAAAGAAATTGAAAAACCTCACCTCAAACCAGCTCCTAGGCCAAGTTCTCCCGGCAACCCATCCTCTTACGGTGGTGTCACTCCCCCTCACTGGAGTTTGAGGAAAAACCTGGAGGTGGGCTGAGGGGAGGACTTGGGCAGAGAGGGGTGTCGCCATTGGCTGTCTGTGACTAGCATGCTGTTTGTGCAGACAGCATATGCTAGCTATGCACAGAATTAACATTAATATATACTCAAGAGTTCCGGTCTAGCTAATACTGCTCTGATGATTAAAGATGAAGTAACATCTGCGGCAACAAAGAGCATTCTCTCTGTATGTGCAGAGTTTCATAGTGAAACGCTGCGCAAACAGACTCCAGGTACCATGACCACTTAAAATCCCTGAAGTAGTCATAGTGCATGAAGTAACCCTTTATACATCTTCTTGTGAGATGATAAATACTTTCTTCACACCCTTGTAAATTATGAAGGGATACATTCTGAGCTATAACAGTTGGAAGGTGGCCAGTCTTTGGTATGAATGCATGATTTACCTTTGCAATCTCTTATCCTAAGGTAACAACAAGATGGTGAAACAAATATTGTCAAATGAATAAAAGTGAATTTTTATTGGTTCCAGCCCAAACTCACAATTTCCGTGAAAAACCATTCCTAGACGCCTATGTAGTCTAATGGTATTTACACATGTCGTTTGTATAGCAATTGAAAAGTTATTTAGGTCAATAACAATATATATATAAATTGTTAATGATATTTCCCATTGAATAAGGTTTCTCTAATAACTCACTCTGTATAGGTCACACAGTTTGACTCAGGGAATCAGCTGAAAGCATTGCTTTATGGAAACTTACACAATCCAGTCGACAGCCAGAATCAATGACAGATCATTGGTAGGGAGTCCGATGGCCTCCAGAATAATCGCTATGGTCAGGACGCCCCCTGCAGGGATGCCTGCTGCTCCCACACTTGAAGCAGTAGCAGTAACTCTGGAAATGAATGATAAACAATCATTAGCCGCTGGTAAGTATATAATCTAAAACCAAGTACATCTATATTTAAAACTCGAAATAAAAAACTTTTTTCATGGATTTTAATCTTTTTAAAACCATTTTTTGGGGGCAAAATGAATGCACTGTTTTAGTTACTTTATTAAAACAAAAACAGGCATGAATGAAAATTATATAACTTTTTTTGTGTATTTTATTTGTATAATGTGCCCTTGGAAAATAAAGGGAAAAAAACAAAACAGTAATGCATTCAATAAAGTCTCATAAGTAGGTTAGAGAGCTGTAAATGTACACGAATGGGATAAACATATCTACAATAATACTCAGCAGAATATATGTCAGGACTAATTGCAGACAAATATGAGTATTTTATGTGAAAGTGGATTTACACTGATACTAATATATTATTACTACTTGAGTATCTTGCTAATGTATTATTACTACTCACGTACCTTGTTAGTGTAAGATTATAACATAGTATTTGATAACTTACAGTATAGTGAAGACTTGTCCAGCATTCAGATCAACATTGTTCATTTGAGCAATGAAAACGGCAGCCATACATTGGAAGATGGCCGCTCCGTCCATATTAACTGTGGCCCCGATGGGCAGGATAAACCTGCTAATTCTCTTGTCCACACCGTTATTTTCTTCGATGTACTTGATCATGGTTGGAAGAGTTGCAGAGCTGGATATGGACAGGGAGAAGTTATGAGATGGAGTTCGGAGACATGTTGTATTAACATAGAGGTTTTATTTTGTGAAAACCATATTTATAACATAACTAATTTCAAAAGGTACCCTCTGGTTAGAATTACCACACTCCATGTGATAAGTGATATCATTTGTTAGGGTTGAATCCAAGAGTCTAAGAAATCCATTTATGCTGACATTTACATTTCAGGATTTACACCCTTGTTTTTTATGACAATTTTGCTAATTAATTTGATTAAAAGAATAGATCATTTACTGCTTTTTGTGCCAATGTAAAGCATGTCTTGATCTCTGCTGTTTGCATATTTTCATGTTAAGATTTTCGCATGCTTTGGGCATTAAAACAAAACTGTAAGTAACTTAAATTTTTGATGTTGAAGTTTTCTCAATACTTCCGTTCTGTACAAACAAACACATCCTGCTGCAAAGATTGTATCTGATACATCAATATTTTCTGCTGTAGAATGTGATTGGAAATTTGAGATACATATACAATACATACACTGTAGATTACCATGTCGCAGATTACTAATATAAATAATATATTTTGAACATCACAAATATATTATGTTGCTAAAACCATACGAAACACAGAATTAGTTTGTTTAAAACAGTTGGTGCTAGACTTCACTACATTAAAAAATCATGACATAAAACGTAATTCTTTATCTTATTGTATATTTGATAAAAGAAAAAGTAATCTATGAAAATATATCTACTGGCTTCCTGCTCAGCCTACGGATATAAGGAATATTAGTACCAGAACTACATTGGCTAAAGATAAAGACAACTAAACACCAGATTTACCATATTTACACAGGGAATTCTGATTTGTCGAATCCCCATTTCCAAAGGGTTATTCTGTACCCCAGAATCTTCCCTTTAACCAGCTGTATAAAAGATGTCTCCGATGAGAGAAGGAATGTCTGGTCCATCTCGCAGCCTAAACTCAAACTATGCAGACGCTAAAATAACATGGCCTCACAATGTGACCTATTTAATTTGGGTCAATGGAGATACAATAATTCAGAATTACTGGAGCAGTAAGAGAGAAATAATGTCCATCAGTTGGCTCACATGGTTATGATAATATTCCTGGTAAGTACAGAGCTGAGTTCAAACAAGTCTTGGTAAACTGGAGAAAATAAAGTCATTCTAAGGAACATAAAAGGTGCACAGAGCACCCAAGCCTACTCCCAGCTGTAAATTGTGTTAGAACTGCAGTGATGTTGTAAAAATCACTGCAGCTGTAAGCCTGTTCCATTAATGTTGGCAACTGGACAACCAGGATTGACAGTTCCAGTTTGCCTGTGTTTATTTTGTCCAGTTCTGATGTGCACCACGTGTATGCCACATTCACAACAACACCTCTACAAACAACTGCACACAGCCAGCCAGTTTTCTATACAGTGAGCTGGCTACTGAAAAGGTTATAGAACCCAAGGGATGAGTTAAACTACCCTTTGGGATAAACTACTTATCTCGTAGGGTTATGGGATATGAGACTCTTTCCGATGAGGGAAGGGTTGCTTCTGCGAGCACCCACTTATCAGTCCATCAAAGAAAGTAAATAACTTTTTTTCTCATTTTTATAGTAATATTTGCATTATAATATATTGTAATGCATTGAAAAACAGGACTGTTTCCCTTTAATGATCAATATGCAATCAATTAATATATGCAGTTCTACAATACAGACAATATTCCTGCAGTAGGCACCTTTGGCACTCCAGATAGCAGACTACATCTCCCTTGATGCTTTGCCAGCATTGTGACTGTAAGAGCATTATGGTAGATGTAGTCCACAACATCTGGAGTGCTGAAGATTGTCTGCCCCCTGCTTATTCTAAAGACAAAACAAAATAGTTTTTCTTGTAGGCTACTTTTTAGGGTAATCGGCACTGTATTATTGACACCTATTATGTCCTTGTATTTCATTTAAAACAATCAAATGTTTTAGGAAAGAAAAACAAATATATTAAAATGTAAAGAATTACAAAATTTTGAACAAACTTACCTTGAAGATGTTGCAAACGCAGTTGCAAAGGGTGTGATCAACCCTAATAGGAATGTGAAAGGGTTTTTACGTGTAAACGCGAAATAAATAAGTGGGAGCACTATTCCTCCATGAATAACGTGACCCAAGATTGAAGCTAATATATATTTTCCCAAGCTGGTCACCAGCAGGACAATGTCCCCCATTTCCACAATCTTGCTTCCGACAAGAAACATTATGCCAACGGGAACATACCTGAATAAAAACACGTGAAAAAAGTCGACACAAACATTACACATGGACTTTTAAAATTGGGTGCCTCATGCATTATGCGTATCAGGGTTGGCAAAAATAACCCCGGTGTTGTAGAACTATCACTCAGATGTTGCTTTGCCAGCTTTAAGGACTATGAAATCTGCAATCTGCTATTTGCTGGATATATGTTAGCCATGCAGTTTAGGTATCTGGTCCATGCGCAAACACCTTGAGTCTCTGGATAATGACATTAACAGGGGGGGTTTGAATAATAAATTTTGGTCAAATTCAGACTTAAATTCATTGTATTCATTGCATCCTATGTCACATGCATGCCTGGAGTGGACTTGTTGGTGACAACGCCATCTAGAGCAGGGGTGCCCAAAAGTTAGATCCCCAGATGTTTCTAAACTACATCTTTTATGATGTTTTGTCGTTCTAAAGCATGCTAAAGACATGCAAAGCATCATGGGAGTTGTAGCTGTACAACATCTAGGGATCTACCTTTTGGACACCCCTGGTCTAAAGGCCTACATATAGAACTAACATCTTCTACCTATAGAAGAATATAGGTGAAGATGTTACAGCATGTAATGCAAAAGTATCTAGGTCTATAGGTGAAGATGTTTTGGGGATATTAAGTAACAGTATCTAGGTCTATAGGTGAAGATGTTTTTGGGATATAAATTAAAGTATCTAGGTCTATAGGTGAAGATGTTACAGAATAATATGTAAAAGTGTCTAGGTTACGAAAACATCCAACGTCAATGAAATCCCCATAGGAAAGCATTGCATAATGCTTTCCTATGGGGAGAGCCAATGCGAGCATGACCATTGCCATGCATGCCCATTAAGTATGCCCCGCCGGCTGATATCGGTGGGAGAGGAGTGGAGGCGGACCCGAGCCAGCGCTGAGGGACATCAGCGCTGGACTCAGGTAAGTGACAGAAAGGGTTTTTAACCAGTTCTGCACCGCGGCTTACAGTAGTTTCCATTTAACTGTAAGTTAGTTTCTAGTACGGTTAACTTACCACATAATCCAGGACACAATCACCATTGTAGCTTCATTGAAAGCATTAAAAAAACGAATAAGTTCTTCCCCTTCGGGACCCAGTTTTTTCAAGGCCACGCCCAGAATAAGTGCAAAGAGGACCAGCCCCAAAATGTTCATTCCATCAACTTCTGTACCTACAGGGATCTGAAAAAAACACCATATGTGTCATTTCGGTGTACTGCTTCTTGAACATGGCACTTGTATGACATTGTATGTTAGTTGTCTCCTGCAGTACTAGAATTTTAATTATGCAAATTACAGCAGTGCGTTTAAAATACATCGTACGATGTTATTTCCTCAGTACTATTGGAAATATTCTATAAATCAGAAGTGTGAAATCATGGCCACCTATTTCTAGCCAGACAGAATTCTGGGAAATGTAGTCCAACAATGGCTGGAAAGCCCAGGCTTGCTATAAATGCTTGCAGGACAGGTCATCTTGAAGTCAGTGTGTGACTGACCATTCTATAGAACCAGCATTGTAAAAAATATATTTCCAGTACATCTGTATCTTTGCATAAAATAATTTGTGTTATCTGTGTTCTAACCCTGTGCTCGGAACCTACCTTTGCCACCCAAGGTTGGATGGATTTTGATGAACACTGAGGCATTTAAATAATCTTAATTTGAGGGCTGGGTGAAACAAAATATGATTGAGCAACATTAGGCAGATATTGTTGAAGGAAAATGTCTGCATGAATTGAGCAAATAGACCCCAATTTTCTCGACATGTTGGTGTCACTCAAAGACTCATTGTACTATAACCACTACAATAAAAAATGTAGAGGTTAGGGTTACTAGAGTCCTACTTTAAGATTGATTTAGATCAAAGCAAACTTTCATTATTTGTCTATTTACTCCTTCCAAATTGATTAATTAATTGCGTGCACGCTCTTCCTAGAAGTATTCACACCGGAGACAAAGTTTCTGATTAGTGAAAAACCTGAGGAATGCTTTATTCCACGGAGTGGGAGCCCCTTTTAAAGCAGAAATACGTCATGTACAGAGTCACGGTTAACATACAGTATAGTTCTCCCACCCACATTCCAGCTCCATCTTGGTTACACGATGGGAGGGGGAGTGAGTAGTTACTGAACAGAGAGGGGCTGAAGGGGAAACAGTTACTTTAACAGCGATTCTCCATTTTGTAACACGTGGCACATAGCTGTTAGTTGCACAAAGGAAGTGGGGGAGGAGTTAGTAAAGGAAGCTGTTCTTTTAACACAGGAATTTGTTACACGAGGCTTGCTCGATGGGAAGGGGGGAGGGTAGCCGGATGGGAGGAATTTACAGTGGAAATAGTTACTGAGCACACATGTACAGAGTAAAAAATACATTTTATCCATTCAAGTATTTTGTCCATAACAAGATTGCTGTCTAAGTGTCCGACCAGCACTGAACAGACTAATTTTATAGTTCACACCTGCGTCCATGGTTTCTGATGGGAAGGATTAGAACACACACGGTTTGCGAGGGGGGAAGAAGCAGGTAGGTATTTTGGAACTGCTTTCCTAGCCTCAGGATATTTTTTTTTAACTCAACGCTCCATGTAAGAAAAAAAAAATATATATTTTTTAAATAAACCTCTCTCACAATAAAACATACCGTTACACACACAAAAAAAAAGAACACATAGGTGATGATTCACTAGACCAGTGATTTCAAACCCAGTCCTCAAGTACTCCCTAACAGTCCAGGATTTAGGAATTACTTAGTTGTGTCTAAGGTGTCAATCACAGCTAGGTTACCCTGAAATTTGCTATGGAGTTTTTAGTTCCCCCACCATTCAGTGTGTAGAAAATAGACATAAAAGGGGAGATTTACCAAGGTAAAACAGATGATATTTTGGGTGCAAAGCGCTAAATGTTGAGAAACGTTCTATTGGTGTCCATGGTAATTACTTGTTATTTTGCACTTAACTCAATAATTTACCCTAATTAAACTACCCAAAAGCTAACAGATAAAGAGGGAGCTTTAGGAATGAGTTCTGCTCTAAAATGTCATGTTAAGTAATAAAAGTTGGACAATCACCATGGAAACCAGTGAAACCAGCAGGAACATTGCATTGGTGACTCCTCCCCTTTTACATGTTGCCCCTTTTTAAAACAGAGCACGTTGATTAATCCACCCATATAATTTCTCTTATAATATATTTACCAATCTAGAGTGCCTTCATCGTAATTATTCTGCAGCTAAATCCAAAGTATTGTTTGCATCATTAAAATGACTGCTATTTCTTCTGAGATAAAAGAAAGAACATTGTGATGTTATATTAAATGTGCATTCATTTCCAGTTTCCTGTAAAACTCCGGACTGCGGGTCATTAAATGCAAGAGAGTGATTACTCTAATAAGATAATTGTGATTTTGGTCTGCCATGTAAAACAGAAATCAGTATGCACATATAAGCATTGTCTTACTCAGGCAGGAAGGTCAGTGACAATAATTAGAATATCACATGAGGTTTTATGAGAAATGACTTGAAAGCTAAAGTAACATTTTGTATTTTCTGCAAAATTAATAAAAAGTACTTAGGATTATTAGTCATAATGGAAGGTTTGAATGATAGCAGCATCCAAAGTGTGTTTTACGCATTTGTTGGGTTGTCAGAATGACTTCAGATTTGTATTATTTTTATCACAGTAATGCGTAAAAGTTTATTAAGACCAAAAACACTGGTTGTGCTTAGAGAAACCCTTTCTGGTGTGGTGCAATAACTATTCCTAAACTATTAAAGAAAAAAAAGATAGAAAAAAGTTAAAGCCTGCCTCTTTTCTGACCTCGGCATGCACTTCCTTGCCTGACATCACTCCCACTCAGGACAGCGCTTCTCGTACCCAATGCTTCTCTATGAAAAGCATTGGATTGGACAAGAAGACAAAGACGAGACAGCCTCCAGAAAGATGTCGCCAGAGGCAAAGCGGTCAGCTGGACAGAGAGTCGCAGCGCTGGAAAAGGGGTGAATAAAAACTTTTCTTTTTTTTTTTTTTTTAAGTGGAGACCAAGAATCTAAATGGTGTAAGACAATTAGGAACACCTTGGACCTCCAAGTTAAGTTAACTACATTGTCCCCACAATATAATTATCACTACTAAATTGTACCCAGGACATAGTACAGCATGCACACCTTAAAAAACAAAGAAAATAATCTGAAATCTCTGGGGGTCCATAACCTAGTTTCTAATATCCTACCTTTCTTTCCATGCAACTCTCTTACAGGGACACAAAATGTTTGGGGTGCATATGTGCAGACATAAAATATATCTTCCGTGGTTTAACCTGGAAAACTGTCATGGAAATGTGTTATGTCTTTTGTTTTCAATAGGTTAGGGCACTTACCCTCATTTTATCTGTAAACCATGTCATCTTCTCTAATAAAGAAATGGCATGCTAATAAAACTGGTATTAGTAATTTTTAATGAATAGCAACCCAGGGGATTCTGGGTACTTTAAAAAACTTAGATTTTTCATCTATTCCACCAGAGTCTTTCATTAAATGGCATTTTATATAGCATGTCCTGATGAATATATTAATTGTCAAAATAACCTATTTTATATGAATTTCTATGAACTCACCTTTTCAATAATCACTCCTTCAGTAGTGTTCCGTGTTTGAGTTACATAGTCAGTGGCATACTGTAAAGGCAAAAGTAGTTGTCTTTAAGCACATTTTACATTGGAGGTAAGCAGTTACACAATCACATAGTTCTAAAATCTATACACATAGATTTACTAATCCGCATCTAACACCAAATACAGAACCTTTTCTCAGGGTTAATCAGAATATGTAACATGGCGTGGGCACCCATCATTCTACATTTAGGACAGCTGACCGATTTTCATTTAATTGTTTCAGAGACAATGTGATGAAAGGAAAACATTCATTAATGTTTGTGATGAGCTAATATAGGCTAAATATTAAAGAGTCTCAAAGTCAAGTGATTTAGAATGTTCGGAGGTATGGTTCTTATTGCGTTAGTATTTGATCTATGATATCCTGAAACAAATATATAGTAGACGGAACCAATTGTTAAAGGAACACTATAGTCACCTAAATAACTTTAGTTAAATAAAGCAGTTTTAGTGTATAGATTATTCCCCTGCAATTTCACTGCTCAATTCACTGTCATTTAGGGGTTAAATCACTTTGTTTCTGTTTATGCAGCCCTAGCCACATCTCCCCTGGCCATGATTGACAGAGCCTGCATGAAAAAAAACTGGTTTCACTTTCAAACAGATGTAATTTACCTTAAATAATTGTATCTCAGTCTCTAAATTGAACTTTAATCACATACAGGAGGCTCTTGCAGGGTCTAGCAAGCTATTAACATAGCAGGGGATAAGAAAATCTTAATTAAACAGAACTTGCAATAAAGAAAGCCTAAATAGGGCTCTCTTTACAGGAAGTGTTTATGGAAGGCTGTGCAAGTCACATGCAGGGAGGTGTGACTAGGGTTCATAAACAAAGGGATTTAACTCCTAAATGGCAGAGGATTGAGCAGTGAGGCTGCAGGGGCATGTTCTATACACCAAAACTGCTTCATTAAGCTAAAGTTGTTCAGGTGACTATAGTGTCCCTTTAAGTCTAGTTTGCTCAATTTTAAACCTCATTCCTATATGTTTTTCAATGTACATTGTAAGATCAATCTTGATTTTCTCATCACACGACAAGGTTGTTTCAGGATTTTCACTACCCTTTCAGTAAATGGTATTTACTGTTTTTAACACTTTTGCACATTAACCCGCACATTAACCCTCGGTATTCCACCTTCTATGTTTTTGTTTAAAGTTTTGTTTTCACTGAAATAATCTTCAGTTTTTAACTTAATTTCATCCCTTAACATATTGGATTGGACATGTCTTTTTTTCTTTTACCTAATAGGATGTTTAAAACTTTTCTGAATTAATTTTACTAAAACTGCATGTCAGTTTAGAAACCGTTCCCGTAAATACAACAGTTTGAAGTGGTGCAACCGGGTCCAGGCCCCAAGTCTCAATGTGTCTTGTATAAAGTTGAATAAATGGATAATTCTTACCGACTGAAAGGCTGCAGCAACAAGGTTAGAGGGCATCAAGTTTCTGTAAATGACAGTAAGTGCATATCATCAGTATAGGAAAAGATGCTTAGCCAAGTTAAACACATGTGAAAAAACAAACGGAACTGATTTGTTTGAACGTGAATTTCACATAATCAAACACTGAGCCAGTTAGGCATCAGGTGGCTGTTGAAGTTTATGCAAGAGACTTTTCAACCTGTCCAAAAAATGTCTATGTCCTCTAATTAGAACAATGAGTCTGTAACGAGATTTAATCAGTGAATATTGCTAAAAATAATAGTCATTTTTGTTATGTCATTTCATGCTTACAACTGTTTCAGTGTTTGAAAGGACACTCCACAGTCCAAATAAAACTGAATAAATAAATTACTATTTATTAGAAATACCCACAATGAAAATATGCATGCATTTAAATATGGGTTTTTTCACTGGGGGTAAATCTAAAAAAGCTTGCAAAAGTTGCAGACCTCGTCCTTGCAAAACTTCCTCTTCTTCCCCAGCCCAGACTTTCTGTGGCTGTCCAATCACAGACTTTGCAAAAGATTTCTCATTGAGCTACATTGAAAAGTAGGTGCTCTGGGCACTTGTCTGCTTGTCTGCCTCTTGAGTTTGGCTCCACTGAGCTAAGCAGACCAGGGAATAACAGAACCTTTTGTCTGGTTTACAAATCTGTGCAGCAATAAGTAATAATAGACATCCAAAATTATACAGAAAGTGGATTGAATATAATATGCAGACACACTATATGTTCTAAAAGATCCTTTATTGAAGCTAGCTGCTAAAAATACATACAGGGTTAATCACTAAAGTGAGAATAGCTGGGAATTCAAATGAATTTCAAAGTTAAAGCAAAATAGCTAAAATGTTACTACTATGCTTCCGGTTTTGGCTATTTTGTCCTTAAATTTGAAGTTCATTTTGAAGTCACTTGGAATTCCCAATTCTAGCTTCAGTAAATGAACCTGAGGTCGTCCTGACTGTGGATATATGCAGTGAATTAAATGTCCAGAACCAATGCACATTTACACTTACTAATGCTTGGAGAAAATACACAGACACATTGTCTACATACGCAGATCTCTTTATTATTTTCTCACCTCAGGGATATAATGATATTTCTATTTCATATAACATTTGTATCTTTTGGAAACAATGAGGATATTTAAGTTGGTAACTAGACCCGGCAAAGTTAGAAGATAGCCGAAGCTTAATTGCAAAACAAAAATAAACAATGAGCAGCAGAAGAAAGAGTAAAGTACAAAAATGAATATAAGCTGTAGTGGTTATGGTGATTAGAGTGGCCCTTTAATTAGAAATTATAGTAATAACATGTCTGTCTATTTTGTGAGTTCACTGTATTATTTAATAACATTAACAACCCCTAATTATCGGCTGCCCACAATCCGAGTAGCAGGTAAATAACATTCATAAAAAAAAAAATTATGGTAGGATTTATTGTCCTTATAAAATATCTATATATGTGTATATATATATATATATATATGTTGGAATTCTGTTTTTTTATGAAATATTGAAAACAAACCTGATCTAGTTGTACAGTAAATACGTGTGTGAAAGTAACACACATGTTGGCTCTCACCTGTCAGCACCTGCTTCTCAAGTTTTCTAGTTTATTATTTACCCACGACCTTCATGTTAAATGGAATAAAAAAACATGAGGAATATGTTGTCCTAAGCATGTGCTAACTGCCCACTTATCACCGGGTCTGTCAGCGACAGTGCCCCTTCATGTGATGTAAAATTAACATGTTTCTGGATCCCTTATTTAATAATGACTTGATGTCCTGTCTGCAGTATATGAATATTCTACATACATCGGGGCATTACTTTCATGTGCTGCCCATCAATATGTATCCAAAATATGTGTCCAGGAAAGCGTGCTGGATCTGGCAATATGTTTTGTAGTTCTACACAAATTACTTGTTTATGTTCCACAATTTATGTGTTTTACATATTGTGCTGTATTCAGTAAATTCACTAAAAATTGCCTTAGGATAATTTAAGCTGTATGCTTAAAGCCGCTGCCAACTCATACTCAAGAGAAAAATGTCCCCTTGCCCCCGAAGTGATCATTCACTTCCACTCAAGTCCCAGCTAGATTCCAGGGTACTGGACATTCATCTGCATTACATGTAGTGTCAGACAGAACACTATACTGAAAGCGAGGCTTAATGGTAGAAAAGAGCTGGAATTTATCATGGGTAAGATGACTGTGGATCGCTTGGTGGTACCTACTACAACTGCAAAAGTGAAGTCTACAGCCATGTCCTGCCCCATCCATTATCCTTATTCAGCTATGCTTGGGTGTAAAAACAGGGAGGGGGCATTAACCAGAGTCCTAAGAGTTTCTTTAAAATGCCTCCACCCCCAAACTGCCAACAAGGCTGGCTTAACCCAGTGAGTGAGGGTAGTCTCCAAAGGCCTGCTCCACATAGTAACCAACACCTCACTGCACATGGAAAGTGGGAGCAGATAGGATCATGTATATGCGATTGTAGGTACATTGGATGTACATAGCTGAGCCATGGTATGTGCATTTAAATTACAGTTTAAACTCACGGACAGTAAATGGGCATGATCTTAACATCTTTAATTAAAACAGTGAACTAGACACTAGATTCTCAGAAAATAAATGGATCACTGCCAGAACACGTCTACACCAGTCATTTATTTGAGCTAGTTCTTCTGGCTTGTGCTGTTGTGCTGTTAGACATAGGTATCCAACCCATGGGGCTAAAGTGCAGTGACTACATTTGAAACCTAGTTTTCACTTACGCTTGGTGACTTAGAGGGTACCTTCATGGCGAAAACTGACACCACCAAGCTGCTAGGTGTATTGGGGTATCTACAGTTATATCTAAATAGTAAATATGAGTGATGTCTACTCCCAAGATATCTTGAAGGCCTGCACAGTGCAACATAAGAGAGTGTATTTGTCAGTGCAAATCTGTCAGTGAGTGCATGTGTCTGACAGTGAGTGTGTCGGCTAGTGTGTGTCAAATCAGTGAGTGTGTCTGTCAGTGACTGAGTAAGTGTGTCTGTCAGTGTGTGTCAAATCAGTTAGAGCGTGCGTCAGTGTGTGTCAAATCAGTGAGTGCAGTGAGTTCAGCGAGTGTGTGTTTGTCAGTGAGTGTGTATCTGTCAGTTTCCTCTGTGTGTAAATTTGTCTGTCAGTTTCTTCTATGTGTACATATATGTGTGTGCCAGTGTCCTCTATACGTAAATATGTCCTCTGTGTGTGACTTGCGTGTCAGTGTCTTCTGTGCATGTGTTTGTCAGTAAGTGTGTGTCTCTTAGTGAATGTATGTGTATCTGTGTGTCTGCCCGTGTGTCAAATCAGTGAAAGTGTGTGTCCTCTGTGTGTAAGTGTGTGTGTCAGTGTCCTCTTTGAGTAAATATGTGTGTGTGTGTGTCAGTATCCTTTGTAACTATTATGTGTGTATTATATTTTCATTTTCTGACTTTTATACAACAGATTAATAGTTAATAGACTCCTCATTACATTAATAAAATTAGCATTATATTGAATAATATATTTATTTTAAGAAATATTGTGTGTTGCAACCCTCAGCGGTCCTCGTCTCGTCTATATGGTTCCTGTCCCCTTTTCAGGGTGCTGGTTGTCATGTGCGTAATATAGTGAGAGGGTTATCTTGTTCCTCTGTGGACATTACATCAATTTCAGATCAAGAAAATGTCGTTATAGACGCCAAGTGGCGTGTGCCTTTAAAAATATGGTCCATGAATCTAAGCTGTAAAAGAAAATGTATACAATTATGTGTAGAGCATTCAATGCACAGCAGTAATCACAAATGCCACAAAATTCCAAATTAAACTCCAACAAGTGCCAGGCAACTGACAAATAGCTACTGGGAGAATGGGAGAATTGCCAGGGTTCTAGGGGCCTCAATTCTTTGTTCACTAGAAAGTAGAGAGGCTACTGTTGAGGAAAGAAAAAACGCGCTGACTGGATAATTTCACTTACTTTGGAGAGAACTAAATATCAATATGAAAATACAGATGGATTCTAAGAACCAAACATATTGGTGGGCTTACAACTATACTATATTGATAACATAAAGCCCAGAACCTAGTATTACCTTGACAAACAGCTAATGTTCATGAACGATTAAAATAACAAAATGAGTAGTTTGTATAGTGAACAGTGAATAACATCCCTTCCAAGTGTCTATGTTTAGGAGGGACAGTCCCTATTTTGGGCACAAGTCCCTCTGTCCCGCTTTTCTATCCTACTGTCCCTTTTTTCTAGGTGTCCCATATTGTTGCAGAGTCTGAGTGTATAAAAGAAATCTTCAGCAATTTTACTCCCAGTAATGTGTCTTTAAACTACAATAAACGTGTTTAGGAATCACATACATTGTTCTTGTTCTAAATTACATTTTAGTGGCATAAATTTTCTTTAGTAAGTCTCAACGTAAGTCAATGGCCACACTCCACTCACACCACTAAAAATAAGTGTCCCTTTTAGTCTATTTGACATGCTGGGAGGTATGGAACAACAGTGTTCTATTCTAGCGGCTTAGAACATTGTTGACATTGAGCTAAACTAAATAAGGCCTTTAACCATATGCATGGGGGTTACACTGGGCAACCTACCTTGGAGATAAGTAAATGCTATGTGTGTGTCTGTCAGGCTATACAGGCTATGTTAAGCTACTATACATGGATAACTATGTATTCAGGCCTCCCAGCTGTCCTAACCAACGAAGGCTCTAGTTCCTGGGTGGAATACTTCCAAGACAAAAGACAAGGACTGTGAATTCAATATTTTCAGCACCCTCTGTTGGTTGAAGGTAATTGTCAAAATGATGTGTGCAGTGAGACTTGATTGCATGTATTTGCATATTATGGAAAACACAGGTAGGCCCCTGGGTTTAGTTTCTACAAAAAAGAGTCACCACCAGAGGTGTAACTTAGGACTAGGGATAGCCCAAAAATCCAAACACTGGATAACTAAGGCCCAATATTCCTGTATGGTATACCAGACAAAAAAACAAGTCCATTCTTAGACAAAGAGAGAAACAAACAAACAAAAAAAAACATAAATAACTTTATTATCATTATATTAATAAAAGGTACTTAGTTTTTCAATAAAGTAAAAAAAAAAAAAAAGATTATTAAAGTAGCATAAAATACCTTATAACACCTATAGCATAAAATAGCTTATAACACCTATTACAGGTGGTAGGGGATAAATCTAACCTCCTACAGAAGAATATCTAGAAGGTTCTTTATAGAATAACGGAGTCTAAGTTTCAATGGCATTTCATAGATGGCAGCAATTTGTCAGAAACCACAATACGGTTTTCCCAGTGGGCTAAGGCTACAACATGTCTCCCAACTGGAATTCTTAAACAATGTAACAAAAAGAATGTTACACATTGCGAGATGGTCCCACTGGCAATATCCAATCTGAAATGTACACACAACAAATCATGATCACTATCCTCCTAGTGCAGTCCAGAGGAGGGAAGGGGAAATAATGTGAGAGAGGGAGGCTAGGCAGTTAGTTAGGAAGTCCCACGACGATCCCCCTAGTCAATATTAAGGAGAGGAGACAGAGTAAAAATCACTCCAATAACCTACTAGGTTGAAAAGCAATACAGCAACATCTGGGACAGAGAGCCACCTCCACAAATTCTCCCCCTTGCCACCAACTATCTGCACACAAATGTGAAATATTAACCACTCATGGTGTGTTCTCACATAAAATGTGAGGAAAAAAATACTGTTTTTTTCATTACACTTTTTTTTCTCACATTTTATTTGAGGACACACTGTGAGTGGTTCCTATTTTTGTGTCCGTGAGGGACAGGGTTAGGTAAGTAAAATCTACCTTCCCTGGTACCCCTGCAAGTAGTGCAGTAACCATCTACAGTCAAACTATGCCCCAGAAAGTAACAGTGCTACGTTTACACGGAACAGAAGAAAAGTGCCAGCGGACTCCATGGACTACAACCACTTTATTGAGATGAATTGGTTTACAGTGCCTACAGTTTCCCTTTAATGTCTCTCCAATGCCAGTACCAAGAGAAACACATTTGTTTTCACACAACTCAAAGACTCTGCACCACAACCACTTCAATAAGCTGTAGTATTTATGGTGCTTGGAGTGCCCCTTTATCCAGTTTGGCGGCAAGAGATAAGTTGGTTTCATACATACCTTTGGGTTGCTCTTTGGCAAACTATAAGCATAAGTCATGTTTACTAGGAAGAATGCATCAGACAACATAAAACAGATGCACAAATAGGAACATTAATTTACCGAAAATGTGATTCACCAATGTTTTGTTTCAGTAAAGTGATTTTCCAGCAATTTCATTCTTTTCAAGGAACTAGAATTTACCATTAACTCTCATCTGAGTAGATTCCAAATATTAAATGTCACCATTTCCATTGCTGAAATGATTGGAATGTCTGTTTCAAATGGAAATGATCAGTTCCAGGGACACAGTTGTGGTAAAAGTATGAAGGTGAAGGAAGTTGCCTTAAGTGAAAGGACAGATGATGCTGTTGTGAACTATTATCTTCCCTGTTCTCTGTGCGCACTGGCATCACAATTGAGACTATCGAGGTGCAGAAGGAGCTCTGCGCTCCATAATAACTGGCTGATCTTAGAAAGAGGAAATGTTGGCACATGGAATTAGAGATGGGGCACCAGAATATGATGTCATATCCATGTGCCTCACTCTATACACACAGCAAGAGAAAGCTGAGAAGGAAGAGTTAGGCTGCTAAGTGGGATGGGGTGGTATAGCAAAGATTGGCTTGACGGTGATATAAAATAATAGTTATGTATCTGCCTTTATGAGAGATGGAAATTCTCACCCACAATAATTAAACAGCCTGTCTTTAACCAAACGTCTATTTTCTATGTAATGTTAAGCTTCCCATAGCAAAGAAGGTATGCTGCTAATCTTGCCTCAAAATATATCTCTGTCATAATAACATTTACTCTCAATTTAAAGAGGCCAGAAAGCAGCTAACCACAGATATAATTTGGAGTTGCAGGGGCACTGCAAGTGTTACTATATTGTATATAGTTCTATTCATTAAATGGGCACTCAAAACACTAAAACGTAGAGCCCTCCCTAGTGGTTTTAATGCCAGGGGTCCTGTCACCCGGCACCACTGTTAAGAGCCATCCATTTTTTAACGACTTGACCTGGTCCCCCAAGGCTGTCCAGCATTCAGCCCCTGGCACCATAGCCACTAAAGCTCACTTCAAAAATGCACATTTTACACTTGCACATTACTTATGTAATTTTAGACCAACATGAGTAGAGCTGATTTGCTGGAGGTCGGTTAGCCCAACGTTCTCAGTCAATTTTTGCTGTGACAGAATTGACCATGATAATGCAGAAGTTTGCAGGCACTATAACCACTACAGTGATCTGTAGCATTTATGATACTTGGAGTGATCCTTTAAGGATCCTCATGTGTAGTGGATTGATAATTCAAGGCTAGCGAGTCCCCTTAAGGCACTGAATTATTAAATTATTATTATAAAAAATCCCTTATGATGGTACCATTTGTACTTGCAGAACATATTTTAGTAAATGATAACAATTAAATGAAAAATATATATTTAAGCAGTATTTGCACCCAACATTCCATTTGCTATGGAACCTCAGCCTTCACACTGTGCACAATGATACTTCCATGCTAATCCATTGATTGCTATTGGTTCACAATATATTAGTTCTGAAATAGCCATTTTTTCAAAGATCGTTAATGCAATATTACTACTTGCTTCTTCTTTATATTGTTCTACTTAAAATATAGTACTATAAGAAAAATGTGTAAATATCATTGACTTGAGTAGTAATCAGTCTTATATTAAAAAATGAGACACATTGCATAATTTAATCCAGTAATGAACTAAATCAGCAAATACAGGTACACAGGCATTCCAACCACACAGTTGCGGAAATAGCTCAGCATCATGGATCCATTTAGCGTAGAATGCATTTAACAGACAGCTGATGTCAATGAGAACATTCTATGTCATCATTTTATTTATGGTTTGGCTACACATGCATTCTACAGACAAAAATAATGTCTAAGGTAGCTGAACGTTCTTCTACTCAGTGCAACACACACTGACTGCACCATGCCATGGGATCAAATATATTCCAATTTATTTCTGAATTATGAATTGATCAGAATGTCTTCCATTTGTCAAATTTTTACACACTTTTTTAAAGAATGTGGGCATAATGACAAATGCAGTAATTAGTGTTACCTGGCTAAACCAAGTAACTGCATTTCAATGGGAATTGCAAGATGCTATTACAGACTTGTGCCATTATTATTAAATATTATTATTATGATTATTATTATTATTGGCATTTATATAGCGCCAACTTATTCTGCAGTGTTTTATCCTGATATACTCACCAAGACCTGTCTCTCCCCCACTACTCTGTTCTTGTCTGCAGGTGGATTTTTTACATTTGTGATATATAACATACATGAACCTTATTAAATGCATATTTTAGCCCTCCAAGATGTGACAACAATCACGACATAAACATGCCCGGCAATCATAGGATCTTATAGTGATTCATTGACCAAATCAATAGTTGTGCTGTGAAGTGTGTAATGACCAATAATTGTATCTGTGTGACCCTGACTTGGGAGTGGGAAATGTTAAGCCAAAATAAAGGAGTTGGATAATTGTTGTAGTCCAAGCTATTTGTGGCCTATTATTTAAAATTCCTTCCCCATTCTGTACAGTTCCCTGTTTAGTAAATAAACCCCACAATGATATATTCCAATATATTAGAGGTCTGATGAAAGCATTACATATACAGTTTATATTCTAAACCTAAATAAATATAGTTAACATGCAATAGCCTTGATTTAATAAGTTAAAATAAATTAATAATGTGAGAAAATAATCCAAATGATTTATATACAAAAATTCTCATAGACTTAATGGTGACTGAGTTCTGCAGCTAAATCAATTTGAATCTTTTCTTAAAGTTTTGAATCATTTGGAAAGGGTATTAAAACCTGCCTTGCAAATACTTCTCATTGAGTTGCAGTGGGAAGTCTATGATTGACAATTAGATGGGGCCGGCTTGCAAAGGCTTCAGACAAGAGAACTGCAGCTTTTACAAGCTGTTTTAGATAGAACACCATTAAAAAAAATGCATAATTAAATGCATGCATGTTTTCATTCTATGTGCTAAACAGTGATTTTGTTTTTGTATTTGGGCAGTGGAGTGTCAAATTAACCAGCTTACAGGATGTACTCTTTACTTGGCCACCCCACAAATACATTCTAGAAGTCCAGTCTAATAAATCAGTGATAGGACAGCAGACTAACTGACATCACGCTGCTTTTTAATCACCCTATGGACTTAAAAAAGATCTGCAATCTCCCATTTCCATCTCGTGTTATGCATCCTTTGCATCCCCTTGTAAGGTAAACTTTGACCTCTATGTTCCTCTACACCAGTGGTTCTCAAACCAGTCCTCAAGACCCACCAACAGTCCAGGTTTTGTTAGTATCTCCATTGGAATAAAACAGGGAAATACAGAAATCCTGGACTGTTGGTGGGTCATGAGGACTGGTTTGAGAACCACTGCTCTACACAGTACCCAGGACTGTCTACCCAGCATAAACATAGGTAAACATTTCCCATTTACTACATGTGGTGAAACGTGTGCCTTGTATCTAATCCCGAAGCGGACGAAACGGCGATTTACGGAAACATAGATATAATCTTTTTTCCCCCTGACTAAACACTAGCGAATTTTCGAAAACCCATTAGTATATATATATAATTATATATACATCATAGTTACTCTAATCTAATGTGCACCCTTTTTGGTAAATTACATTTTCAAAATTTGAATGCGCATTAGATTTGATGGCGCATTACATTCGGGGCAAAATTTGAAATCTGTGGCGAACTGCATTCCTGCTAATTAAAACTGGTGAATTCACACAGGCGAATTCCATTCCTATGAATTCACAAAGGCAAACTGACACAGCCTGCATGGAAAAAAAATGTTTCCACTTTCAATCAGATGTAACTTACTTTAAAAGTTTTTATCTCCTGCTCTGTATATTAAGCTTTATTCACACACACACAGTAGGCTCCTGCAGGGTCTAGCAAGCTATTAACAGAGTAGGTGATAAGAAATACTAAATTAAACAGAATTTGCAAAAAAGGAAGTGTAAACATTAGATGCTCTTTACAGGAAGTGTTTAGGAAGACTGTACAAGTCACATGCAGGGCTGTAGAAACAAAGTGATTTAACTCCTAAATGGCAGATAATTAAACAGTGAGACTGCAAGGGCATGCTCTATACACCAAAACTGCTTTGTTAAGCTAAAGTTGTTTTGGTGACTATAGTGTCCCTTTAAGAAAGAATAGACTTAGCATGTAACACAAAAATTGAAATACCATCAATGTTACTATGGTATATGGCAATAAACCTTTTTTATTGAAGCATAATGTATAGTAGTATCTTCTTGTATAAATGCCGATTACATTCGCCAGCTTCGAGGTTTAAAAAATTGAGGTGCGCATTAGATTCAATGGCGCATTAGATTCTAGTAAATACGGTATGTATATATCATTTTATTTATATAATACTAATTTTATATACATAATTTTGCACAGCTTGCAAAAACTAGGCCCAAATAGTTATGTTTGAAAACCAGCAGAATTCTTCATTGTTACCAGTGAAACTATTTTGGCCTAAAAGTAGCGATTTTGAAAAAACAAATGTTTAAATCACCATAATTCATTATTTTAGTTATTTAGAAAATTCTGTATGTATAACACAGTAATCTCTCTGGCTTGCTCGCCTAAACCCATCTCATGGAATGTTGTTTTGTTGCTTAAATCTATATAATCAATTTATCTCATGAGTAATGCTTTGTGTGTCATGCAGGATCTACACATCTTTTCTTATCACGCATTGGTTTAAATACCAATACTAATTTCAAGCATATCTGAATTCTTGCTTCCTTATTTTTGAAATCTGCAGACACTTCTCTATGGCTGAGTTACTGTGCAGTGTTCATCATTCTCTAAGACTGAGGGGATCAATGAGCAGTGAAATCATAGAAGGAGATTGCATCATTATAGGGGGATGCTTCCATACACCTGCTATTCTACAAAGACAAAGCTTATTATAATAAAGTAACAATACAATAATGAATTGATCATTACCAATAAACCAATACTATTTTTTTATTCCTTTAGCCAGACTTTTGAGCTTTTTTTTTTATTGAACCAAAATGAATTTGTAAACTGAGAAGTGGAAATGTAATTATAATCATTATGATCTTTATCTTAATTAGGGTGCCAAAAAGGTAGATTCCTAGATGTTTTAAAACGACAGCTTCCCTGATGTCATTCTATAACATCCTTTTGGGCGCCACTGATCTAAATAAATCATAAACAGTGAGTTGCATTGAGCAACAAATATCCTAGAAAAAATTAGGATTGTGTTAAAAAAAACTCCATAGCATCTGACTTATAGAGGTCTATTTGCTAACAGTGACTTGTCGTCAATTTGCAACTGATATGACAAATTTAGACCAACCTTAATAAATTGGAGATTTTTTTTCCAATATAGATAGTTATACTGGGTTAAATGAATAATTCACCAAAAGCCACTGGTGTCGAAGACCCGTATTAGACCCATTGTGAATTTAGGTGTTACCCCCCCCCCCCCAAAACAAGGTTTTAAAGAGCCAGGAGAGGCCAGACCCAAAGAGCTTGCATTCAAGATGAGATAATCAAATTATAAGCAACGCCACTGGGTCAGGTTTTCCAGCATTTGTGTCTTCTGTTCTCTGTGATATTGAACACTGTAAAACAAATAATAACGTGTTTAACCCCTTAAGGAAACATGACATGTGTGACATGTCATGATTCCCTTTTATTCCAGAAGTTTGGTCCTTAAGGGGTTAAATGTTTGCAAAAAGTTGACAGTGTGTGGCCCATTCACTAAACACTAAATTGTTGGCAATTGAAACCTGAACTGCAAAATATAAGCAAATATTTGGAAACATTTTCCAATTTGGCTGTAAACCCAGCCTGACTATAGTATTCTCAGTATTGCACTTTAAATTCTAGTTTATTACAGTTTGATGTTTAGTGGATAAACTCTGAATGTAATATTTGTTAATAGTACAGCATTTTTTTTTTGTTTTGTGTCATTTTTTTTCGTTGTAAACTGTTCACAAAACAACTGAGAGCAGACAAAGCAGACCCTCCAACAGACCCTGATGCAGTTGCACAGTGGCAGAGTGAAGCTATAAACAAACAGCAGGGAGACTTGGAAGCAGAGCTGACAATCAATCACATGTCCGCTCCCACAAGAAAACCCACACCTGTAAACTCTACAAACGTGATGCAAGACATTCTCTATTTCAAGTTCCTTTAACGTGGTATTGTCGGTCGGCTTGCCAACTGGTGTACAGTATCTTGCCATGTGGTTCCCCATCCTAGATAGATACTATGTATAGATGGCTGAGCAACCACCATTACATGTTCTCCAACTCAGTCCAAAGACAAAATTAAGTGAAGTAATAAGAATCATAACTAAAAACATTCGAATATTAAAACACACACAAACAGAAAGATCACACAAACAGAACCTGACTTTTTCTAGTGAATCTCAAAGTAGTTAAACAAAACCTCTAGTTACCTGGCCAGGTCTAAGAATGAGTCCACAGTTTCTTTATTGGTTGTCAGAGGTTCTTCTATTCCCAGGGCGTTAGAGTTCAGGGCACCGGCCCCAGCACCTGGTTTGATGATGAAGCCCAAGGCAATGGCTAAACCTGAGGCCATCAGGGTGGTGACCAAAAAGTAGCCCACTGCGATTCCTCCCAGCTTGCCCAGCGACCTAGTGTCCAGACTGGCCGCCCCTGAGATCAAACTGCACACCACCAGAGGTAAGATGATCATCTTCAGCATCCTGAGGAGCATCTCTCCAGGGAAAGCAAAATAAGTCATCTGAGCCTTGGTGAGGTTCATACCCCTCACAGCTGTGCCCAGACCAACCCCAACCAGCACCCCAGACACAGTAAGGATCACTATGGCATTCTTCTTGAGAAACTGGGCACATCCCTGCCTTTCCCTAGGCTTGCCACTTGATTTACTGTCCTCCACCTGGCACACTGTACAGTCTGAGTAATTCCCTGCATGCCCGTTGGATTCACATAGTTTCTCCATGACCACTTTCTTTGTCAGGATGAGGTGCTGTGTTCTCGGTGAGTCTCAGTGATACAAATTATCAGCTCTCCTCCCCAGCTGCAGCCACGCTCCGCTTCTCACAGCTACTAACAGAACTGCAGCTGATGCAACAATGTCTCCTCCTCTTCATCCCTCCCCTAACATGTGCCATCACCCCCTTCTCACTATCTGCACCCCCTGGCTTCCTGCCACTCTCATGCCCAGTGTGCCACTTCACTGTGTGACAAATGTCAGCATGACCCAACATGGCAACAACAGACTGGCCATTACTGATAATTCCCAGACACACAGGTTTAGGAAGAATTCAAGTGAAAGCATCATAGTAAATCTCTAACAGCAAAGTGTCTGTGTTACTTTGTATTTATTAATTCTGTGATCCCAAATAAATAAATCAATACAAAAAAATTATCTGTGAAATTCAGCTTTACTGATAATATAAGATGTATGTGTTTATATAGATTAACATACTGCTTTGAGTCGGTTTATTTGGGGATTGAAAACCACCAGTAAAATGCATAAATAAATTACTTAAATGGTTTGAATTCTATATATAAGCTTTATGCATTAGAACAATAGAAACAACACTATGGACTATAGATCTAACTCAGAGGTTTGTGAAAGCCATTCAGTTTGACCACTTTGATAATTTTATAAATCAGAACTGATGTGTTGGTATTATTTTGTTTGATATTTTTTTTTGTCATTAAATTTCATGTTACATAGTACCTTTTAGGCTTCATATATTATTAATGCCCATAATTATTGTGGTTTGAAATGCTCCCTGATTTACTCTGTTAACTCCATAATTGAGGTATCAGAGAAGATTTTTTTGGAATGAAATTGGCGTTGTTCGCTGTTGATCGTAGTGTGAATTGTCATGCATGCCCCTGGGAATTGTACATTTCCACCAGATGAACCTGAAAATTACACAACAGCTATTTTGATATTTCACGGCAATTCACACTTTAGTAAATACACCTGCGTGGTTTATTCAGACAGCTAGGAAATGCTGGGAATTTTCCAAGGAATTGCAAAGTTTAGACCATAATAGCTCAACCGGAAACCTGCTCCAAGGCATCTACGTGGCACTCTGTAGTGGTTACGATGCCAATAGTGCCCTGGCACCCTTCTAGTGTAAATAATAAAACCATTTAAAAACAGTTTGACAACTTGCCAGGGTTGCCTCCTCCTCTGCAGTCTGGAAGTTCTTTACCCTGAGCTACCTGTGAGTGCAGGGCTTAGCTCGATGACTGAGACCGCTTAGCTGACACTTTCAGTCAGTGAGACATCCCTGCAGAGCAGAGCTTGGTTCATGGGAACTAATGGAAACTCCTGCAAGAGTTCGAGAGGAAGAGGTGAGCGACTCGCAGCAGACCCCAGGTAAGTCGTCAAAAAAAAGAAGAGATTCAGGAAAATGAATCCAATAAAACAGAAAGGGTACAAAATTGGCCAATCAGTGTACTGTAAATTATATACATAACGTAAATATAAAAAAATCCACAGAGGGAGAGAAGTCAGGGGTCTTTCTTAAAAAATTAGAAATATTTTACTGAAGAGCCGATCAATGTTTCAGTTCAATCAAAGGACCTCTATTTAGACAAATAACAGTCTTATACAAAGATCATTTAAAATAGACCTCTCTAAGATCAGAAAGAGGCCAAAATGTACATCACTTGTGTTCCCATGGACCCACCCCTCTCCAAAATGTGTAACCCTTGTGGAACACATTAAAAACTGGGAATACCTATCATATAGAAACCCAGTATACGGTATACCACAGGCTCTGCACTTGAATCTTGGAGTCACACTACACCAACCCACCACCAGTTGAAAACCCAACATGTACGCAATAGGGGGCACACAAAATTACTATACTGCAGTGTTCCCCCAATCACACCACCATGTCCTAAAATACAGTTGCAGATACATTGGCTAACTAAATCATTTGATTCCACTGTGTGCAGGAGTGTGCGTATGGATATACATCAGTAAAACAAGCATAAAAAGTCGAACATGCTGATTAGCCTTCCACAAAAAAGAACCAACATAACAAACCATGGATTGTATAAAGCACCACAGATATCTGCCAGTTTCTTGCACACGTGTTCTTAATGAAGGGAATCTAGTCTAGCTATCAAACACTTTTAAAAAGATTTGACTGCTTACACTGGGAGGGCACAATGGCATTCACGGCACCATTGCCACTACAGTGGCCTTTGGTAGTTATCATTCTTGGGCTGTTCCTTTAAGATGAGCTATCTTGGCCTTGCCATTATGTTGCGAATTTCCAACAATTCACATAAGATTTCACATCTCACCTTATTGTGACCTTTTTATTGTTTTTGGTGTAGTTCTCTTGTTTTTGAAAGAGTATTTGTTTACGTAAGCTGTAATAAATTTAGCTGAAGGAGGAAACAATCTTTTATGTGTAAACGTGCCCAATAAATAGTGTGTAAGCAGGCAATTTTGTTCATGGTTTTGTTATTCAGTTGCTTTCAATTAGCTACAGTAAGACTCAATAAAATGCTCTGGAATCTTTACAGGAATGTGTTTTCAATTTTTGTCATGGCCGACTCCAGTTTTTGTAATCTTTATTTCGTGCCCAGAGCTAGGTCCTGGGGGCCGCCATCTTTGTGTGAGTAGATGACACGTCATCTGCCCACACTAGATAGCGCTGTGAATTAAACACTTGGACATTCGAACGGGAATTTCATCTATTCATTCATTCGTCAGAAAGACGATTAAATGAATAGAAATTTCAAACAAATGAACTATGACCTCTTCGACTGGAGCACAGCTCCCTCCTTGTAATATGTAAAAATAAAAGCGGCAGGGAGCTCCCTGCCACTTGCTAAGCCCCCCCATGTCCTCCCTCACTCAATATGACCCCCATAATAGCATAAGGGAGATTAAAATCTCCTGAATGCCCCTACTTGCTATGCTGCGAGTTGGGGCATGTCTACTAAATGTCTTCTAAAAAAAAAGCCCCTCCTTCTAACCTACAGTCCTCCCCCCGACCCCCTCCCATGGGCAACAGGTGGGGGCTTTAAATGACAATGGGGGGGACCTATTGTCCTCCCCCCGGATTCCCATCCATGGGCAGCGGGTGGGGGCTAAATGTAAACCCCCCACCCCCCGTGACTAGGGGTCCCTAAGCCCCTAGTCACCCCCCACCCAAATTTTTTTTAATAAAGCCCTATCTACCACCCTCACCCTAAAATTAGTGAGGGGGGAACAATAAAACTAAATACCTGTAAAAAAAAAAAATTACCATTTGATGTCTTTTTTTTTTTTTTTAAGATAAGGCCAAATAAAAATCCATAGTATCCGTCGAACTTAAGAAATAAAATAAAAACCTGAGCGCCAAAACAAAATATGACGAAAAAAAATCCTGAATCCAACCAATCAGAGTGCTCGGAGTAATTTTAAACAGAGTGGAAATTTTCCCATGCTGTGTAATTTGACTCATATTGACACTCTGATTGGTTGCTTTCAATCAACCAATCAGAGAGTTATGAATTAAGTTACATAGAATGGGAAAATTCTAAAGAACTTTCCCACGCTGTGTAAAATTACTCAGAGCACTCTGATTGGTTGGATTTACCTGTCAGAATGCTCATTTACCTGTCAGAACGCTCTGATTGGTTGGCTTGGAACCAGAGTGCTCTAAGTCAAACTGCAAGGCATGGTTAGGCTTTATAAGCCTTTCCCCACCCTGCAGAGCTCAGTCTGTGCGGTGCCCTCGCTGAGTGAAGATGAATTCTTTTTTTAGTGTAGGGATTTATTTTTTTCGACTTTTTTTTTTTCTTGTGCTCAGGTTTTTTATTTTATTTTCAAAGTTTGACGGGTATTATGGATTTTTATTTGGCCTTTTTTGGGACTGAAAAAATAAGTTTTAAGAAAAAAGATGACTGTAATGATATTGATGTTACAAAGTTTTGGAGTCCAGTAGCCAGATCAGCAATGTTTTCTGCCAGAGGTAGCCACTCGTTACCCAGGTGGTTGAGCCCCTGAGCCTTGAGTGGCCTTCTGGTCTTAAGCAGAGATGGGAGACTGGAACAGAAAGATGATAATCGTAGTGAGGCAAGCCGAGGTCAGTGGGAAGGAGAAGCAGCAAAGTCAAAACAGTCCAAATTCAGCAACAGGAAGGAGAAACAGGAACACGCTGGATTAGAGAGTACAGGAACCACAATAATCTGGCAAAGGTACAGAGACAGGAAGTGGCTTTTATAGGCCAAGGACCAGACACCTGACCAGACAGAGCTGAAGTGAGTTGTCACTGATAACCTTGACTCTACAAACAATAGTATCAGATCTCAGGTAAATGTGCAAAAGGCAGGCTGGTGTACTGGTAAGGAAAAGGTTTAGCACCATGTAAACCAGGGTTCGAAACCCAGCAGAGTCAGTTCCTCACATTACCTCCACCTCTACAGGCGCAGCCTCTGGATGCCCTATTTCCTGGTTTAGCAGGGTACTGTGCATGGAAAGACTGAAGAAGATCAGGAGCATGAATATTGTCCACTGGTTCCCACGATCTATCCTCCTCACCATAGCCTTTCCAATGAACCAAGTATTGAAGCTTGTTGCGGAAGATCCTGGAGTCAAGAATTTTTTCCACCTCGTATTCATCTTCACCATCCACGAGGACTGGTGGTGGGGCAGGCAAGGCTCGACCAGGGAAAGTATTTTCATGAAAAGGTTTAAGCAGTGCCACGTGAAACACCGGATGTATTTTCATGGAATCCGGAAGTTGCAGACGGAAGGTGACTGCATTGATCTGAGCGATTATCTTAAAAGGTCCCATGAACTTTTGACCCAATTTATGAGAAGGAATCCTAAGCTTAAGATTCTTTGTTGACAGCCAAACCTTGTCACCAACATGATAAACTGGGGCCTCCTTTCTGTGCCTATCAGCAGCTCTTTTGTAACATTCCTGAGCCTCCGAAAGAGTCTCCTTCAACAGTTCTTGGGAATCTCGT